AAATGTTTTGTTACATTTGCAAGGCTTTCCTCCTTAATTGCTTATTAGAGGGCCCATCCTGAAACTGGCTGCTGAGGTTGGAAACTTGTCTGCCTGCCTTTACAAGCTGTGTAACCACAGTCAAGTTATGTTATCTTTAGATGCCTTAGTTTTCTCATTCAGAAAATGGGTTCGATAAAAAGGTTGGAGGGTGAGCTCGGCACCTGTAGCTCAGCGGTTAGGGTGCTGGCCACATACACCAAGGGAGGCAGTTTCAAACCCGGCCTGGGCTTGCTAAACAACAATGACAGCTGCAACAAAAATATAGCCAGGCATTGTGGTGGGTGCCTCTAGTCCCAGTTACTTGGGAGGCTGAGGCAAGAGGATCACTTAAGCCCAAGGGTTTGAGGTTGCTGTGAGTTATGACACCACAGCACTCTACCACGGGTGACATAGTAAGACTCTGTCTCAAAAAAAAAAAAAAGTTTAGAGTGTAGAAGAAGTGAGTTAAAATAAGGGAAGCCTTTAGAGAAGCACCCAACAAAATGTTCAGTAAATCCCAGCATTGTTATTATTGCATTATTATTATGACTACAATGACTGCTGCTTATCCAGATTCCCCTAGTACTGTGGGTTCAATTTATTTATACCTTTGCCCAAACTAACGTTCAAATAAAACACTTTTAATTTAAAAATATGAATAGTAAACTTTGTACTTTGTCTTGCATGAAATGTAACCTTAAAGTTCCAAGACTCTGTTTTGTAGCCTAGACGAAACATTGTGAAATTTTATTCTTCCGTTTTCATTTTTGGAGACACAAGTGAAGAGGGGTTTATTTTGACTACATGTGAAACAATCATCATCAGTGTGGTTGCAGCATTTTCTCCCTGCTCATTCTGTATTCATCATTTTTCAGATCCAAATATCATTTGCATGGGCCTGATGATGTTGAGTATGGATATTGCAGAGGAGTGATAACTTCCCTTTGCTATTGAAGCCGAAGCTTCAAAGAGAAGATTAAAGAAGTGTTTGTTATCTATCTGCACAGGCCTGATATGAAATTCTCAGAGGCTTTTAAGATAAACACAGTTCTGTGTGTGTGCATTTATATGCTTTTTTTCTTCTGTATACTTCTATTGTGGCTTTTGTGCTTTGGTTTAAAATGTCTAGTTTCAAACTTATTAAACCTTCTGGCTAAAGGAGAATTGTTTTCAGAGCAAAGGGTAAGAATTGGAAGATGTTGGCAGGATTTGACTAAATGCTTCCTGAAAAGTATAGAATTTTCTACAGTACAATCATCTTTCCAGGGAACATGATGAAGGACATTCATAGGTTATCTTTAACAAGACAAGATCAAGATCTTAAAGGTGTCCAGCAAATAATGATCTCTAGTGCCCTCCAAGTGAGATGAGATTGCTCATCATTTGGGCTTTCCTTTCAGAAGTGTCCTCTGTGAACTGTGGAATAGAGCTGTGGTTTGGTTTTTGTTTTAAACAAACTTTCTTTGGGGTTGTTGCGTGATCAATACTCAGAGTAAGAAGAGAGGAAGAAAAGATAGGGTAGCAAAATAGATTTATGCCTTCTGAAAAAGAAGAGAACTTATATTCCACTTGATGCCATTCCAAGTGAAGCTCTACATATGATTTTTTTTTTTTAAAGAGACAGCATCTCACCCGGTTGCCCAAGTTGGAGTGCAGTAGCACAATCAGCTCACTGCAACCTCAAACTCCTGGGCTCTAGTGATCCTCTCCCCTTAGCCTCTCAAAGTACTGAGATTACAGACATGAGCCACCAGGCCCAGCCCTTTACAGAAATTTTTTGTAATTGACAAATATAATTGAATATATTTAAAATATATCACATATGCTTTCTCATAATTGGTGCTATGAGTGGAATGATAGATATTGGAGACTAGAAGTGGGAGTGGATAGGAACAGAGAGGTTGATGACAGATTAGTTAATGGGCACAATGTACCCATCATTCAGGTGATGGATACCCTGGAAGCTTTGACTTGACCACTGAATAGTCTATGCATGTAACAAAATTACACAGGTACCCTGTAAATCTATGCAGATAAACAATATATATTTCAAAATAATAAAATGTACAGTATCATGATTTTATAGATGTTGTGAAACAATTACCACAATCAAGTTAAATAATACATCCATTACCTCACACAGTTACATTTTGGGGACGGGGTAAGAATGCTTAAGATATATTCTCTTGGCTTGGCGCCTGTGGCTCAAGTGGCTAAGGTGCCAGCCACATGCACCTAAGGTGGCGGGTTCGAATCCAGCCTGGGCCCACCAAACAACAATGATAGCTGCAACCAAAAAAAAAAAAATAGCTGGGCATTGTGGCGGGTGCCTGTGGTCCCAGCTACTTAGGAGGCAGAGGCAGGAGACTCACTTGAGCCCAGGAGTTGGAGGTTGCTGTGAGCTGTGATGCCACAGCACTCTACCCAGATGGACAGCTTGAGGCTTGGTCTCAAAAAAAAAAGATATATTCTCTTAGCAATTTTCAAGTACATAGTATAGTATTATTAACTATAGTCACCATGTTGCTCATTAGATCCTTAGAACTTACTCATCATATAACTGAAAGTTTGACAGAATTATTTAATTATAGAATAATGCAGATTGTGTTATTAATATTTAACATCAACTAGGTAGGCCCGCCACTTTATTTAATACTGTTAAATTGAGTTCTTTCTTCATAATCAGCCTTCTTAAGATACAGCTACTATTGGCAAAAACAATACTTTTAATGTGTATGAACTTATAAGATCATCTTTCTTCTTGACCAAAAAGAGAAACCAGGATACTTTAAAGTAAGTAGAGAAGGGAACTGAAAAAAACGTATTAGTTGGAGTAGGGGTAGTGGGCAAGAGAGGCACAGAAGAGGCTGAGCTCATCAATAACATATTTTTCCTATTTAACAGCTTGCCCCTAGAGTTGGCCTTTTAACTGCTGCTGCATGGCTAGGTTTTTTCTGGGCCAATAAATAAGAACAACATTGGTCAGCAAAGTTCCTGCTGTTGCCATCATTAACATTTTGGAAAGAGGTGTAGAATGAGAGAGAGGGAACATGTTTGCACATATTCACACCTTAATTTCTATCTCTATTTAATTAGAAGTTGAGTTGGAATTGGGGGTTAATGCAATGCCCTCAAGAGAAGACAGAAAATAGTAAGAAAAGATGAAAATGTGGTTACCTGTTTGATGATTTGCTTGACTGGCTATGTTTTATAGAAAGGAATTTTATTTTATGGCAGACTCCTCGTGGTGACAAGGTACAATGGAAAGCTGCACTGTCTGCTAGGTGGAGATTGACCCACCTTAATATTATACTTAACTTATTTAAGTTTCAGCCAGTTCCAATTTACATTTGCTGTTACATTTATACAGACATCCCTTCTTCTGAGCCCTTGCAACTTTCCATCCTCCCTTTCCTCTGCTCCCTCATCTCCCCTTTTCCACTGCGGATGTCACAGTGGTTCTGGACTCTTCTTGCCTTCTAGCCAAGCATCTTATGTCTCCCTTCACCTGATTGGTAGCCTAGAGCTCTTCAGGGAAAGGAGAGGAGCAAAGAAAGACAATCATCAGATTTCTTCTCCATTTTCTCTTCCTCATTTCCCATCATTTCCCCCCAATTCATACATGGATTATGGCAGCATACTCCCCACTGACCTCTTTCCACTTTCTGAAATTTTATCTTATACAGTAAAGAAATAACCTGGATACTCACTGAGCCAATGTTCTGATCTAAAGAAGCCAAACCTGATTTCAGTCATGCATGTACTGGAAGACACACCATTATCACCTACATATTGCCTTTTTCTGAATCTTATTTTGGTCATGAACTCTTTTAAGAATTTGATAAAAACTGTGGACTCTCTCACTCCTGAGAGGTCACAATAAGGATAGAAAAATATCTATTCTATTCAGTGCCATGGAAGTCGTTATGTCCAGGGTAAGAATTAAGGTGCAATAACTGTGAGCCTGATTGGAGTATGTTGAGGAGTATGTGGGAAGTGAGGAAATTAAAAGAGCAGGCTCAGACAATGCTCCTGAAAATTTCACTGCAGTGTGAAGGGAGATAGGAGAGCGGATGAGGGAATGTGGAGGGGGCGAGGGAGGGCCTGCTTTATTTTTATATGAGCATAAATACGGGTCCTTGGAAAGGACCAAGTTAGGAGGAGGAGGTTGAATAGATACACGAGAATAATCAATAAAGAATAATAGAAGGTTCCTGTGAAGGCAGGAAGGAATGGGATCCAAAGAACAATAGGCTTGTGTGGATAATCATCACATATAACAGTATTTCTCTGGGTGGGGGGGGGGTAATGTAGGTTCCAAATAAGTGACTTACTTATAAGTGATCCTTCCCACAACTGCTATATCATCAGTTTAAGACTTCAAGGGTTGTCAGTTGTGCCAATCATTTCCCAAAATAATAGAAGAGCTGAAATGATATAGTAGACTACAAGAACTCCATTCTTGGCTCTGACACTAAAATGCTAGATAAGCTTGAGTTAACTGTTTATGGTTTACCTGTAAAATTAAGAATTTAGGCTTAAGAGGCATTTGAAGATTTGGTGGTGGTGGTGGGGTTTGGTTGTTGTAACTATGGGGAGTGCCACTGGTATTTGGGACCATGATATGTATAACAGGACAGACATCACCACAAAGAACTGTCCTGCTCAAAGCCTGCAGAGCTCCTGATGAGAAACCCTGGGCCACCACTAGCTTCCCTCTTAGGACTTTTCTAGCTCTAAAGCAAAAATGGCCTAAGGAGTTGTAGTAAATTAAATGCAGCCTTTAAGCCTTTGAGTTTGAGAATCTTTCAAATCACCAGGACAATGCTTTAGTTTTTCTGAAAGTGAGTAATGCCTTTGGCTAGTTATTGACTATTCTGCAAGCTTTTTGGACAAGGTGCTATAGTTATTACTGTAGGTCAACCAAAACTGAGAAACACAAGTTTGACTTATCTCCTATTTTTTTTTCTATATTTCAGGTACTGTTGGGATTTTCAGCCCCAAGGTGAGTTCTCTTTGACCATGAATGGTTTTATGCTAAAATGTATAGTGGGGTTGTTAAATTCTGTCTATGCTATATAAGCTTCTCCACAGAGTGGCATTAGCAATTTCTAAGGGAAGTTAGTGGAGTGTTTAATTAACCTTCACCCCGCTGGGCCCCCTGTCCTGCTTTTTAGCAACAAGAGGCTCTGTGCTTCTGCCTTCTGAGTGGTTTGTTGCTAGATAATTTTATAGAACCAAAGCTATAATATGCTTTTATTCCTTGAGCTTTGTTAGATGCCAACAGGATCCAGTAGCATTCAAATGAAATGGTGGCCGAGTCCATAATAAAAACCTTGGGAGGGTTCCAACTCAGCTAATCCTTCATTTGCTCCAGAAATAAATTCCAGTATGTTACCTCTGCGATCACAGTGCCCTTCCACACAGCCTGCCTGTCTGGCAGCAGAGAAATGTCAGAAATGGAGCAGTGTTGAAATTCCCACTAGAACAGTGTTATCACATTTTAATATGAGCCTCACTGCAGCCTCGGTGCTTCTAATTGCTTTCAAACCATTGTTTTCCTCCTTTTGCTTGATGAACCCAGCATCTGGCATGATTCTAAAAAGTACAACAGACAGCTGTGTGCAAAATTAAAAAAAAAAAAAAGGACAGGATTAGAACACATTTTTAAAAGGTTCAAAATGGAAATATTTTTTTCTGAGTTTAAACAGTTTGAGGGGGTGTCTTTAAAGTATATGCATTCTTTCTTTTTAGTGCTGTGGCTGAGAATGTCAGAAACATCATCCTGAATATTAATCATCTTAATTTACTATACATGGAGGGTTTTTATTTTTTTCAGAGAATCACAGAGAGTTTTAGATCAGATTCGCAAATAGATTTATGAACTATTTTCCCCTACAATATTTTTGACCAATTGTAAACTTTTTCAATATTTTTCATTATCTTAATGTTGTCAGTGTATTCAATCTCAGTGAACAGAAAACTATTAAAATTGTGAGAAATAATAATAGTTTTCTTTTTTATTTTTCCCTTTTATTAAGTCATATACACATAGATTTTTTAAAAAGTCAAAATAATAGTTTTCTTAAATTTTTATTTTCCTACCTCATACTTTTAGTATGTTTCAAGTCAATACCTGCATTAGGCTTTCTTTAAAAGGGAAGTTGTAAGAAATAAAGATCTCATTTTTTAAATCTTCTTGACTCTTGTGAATTTTAATAATGTGATATGGTATTACTATATATTTCACTGTGCTAAATAAAGCATTTATAGCTAAAAACATAGATTAAGCAGTAGAGAATTATATGTAATAATGTAGCAGTTTACTTTGCAAAATATGAAATGCACTATTCAGGGAAAGACCCTCTGGTTCAGGGTTTAACAGATGTTAACCAAAATCCACAGGGGGAAGAACGTGATTATGAACCGGCAGAAATGAATGAAACTCTGAGAGTAGAATTAATGACCTAAAGAAGAAATAAAGAATTGGTGTCAGAGTTGTAGTATAATGTTATGATGAGACGAGAAAATAATTTTACAGCCTAACATAAGAGACTATATGAGACTAAAAAGACAAAGGGCACATCTTACCAGGCTCACAGGATGGTGGCATTGCGGGCATCTTCTAACACAGGGTGACTTCTACACACCCTTTCTCTCTTCGAGAGAGGGCAGAGGCAGAGCAGCCAGGGGGGGACAGTTGAAATTTGTTTATTTAGAACAGAAAACTATATTTGCTTCTCAATGACGATATGTGTGGTAAAAATCTTTGCTCATTTGGAAGGAATTGTAAGGAAAGATGAAGCAGAAGAGGTCATACTGTTGCCCCAAGTCTTGCTTGTCCTCATACAGATACTTTTGGGGGGAGTGAGAGTGTCTTTTACTTTGCCCTTTGGATCAAACCATAACTGACTGTATGCTTCAGAAACTGGTGGTGTGGATGGGAACAGTAGCTGGTTTATATAAGGTACTACAGGGCAATTTAAGATTATGAAAATAACAGGAATGTGTAAGAAAGAGAACAATTGGCAGAGAAAATTTTAAAAGCCCTGGAAGACTAGGTAATGTTGGGATGGGAGAAAAAAAGAACTGTTGGCCCCAAACTTTCCTAGCATTTTTATCTGTGCAGGAATATAGTAGGATATAATTCTGAATTTGCCTAAATACATTCTTCAGGATACTTGGACTATACCAGATCTGGTGCCTGGAAGGAAAATAGTCTTAAGTTACAAAAGATCCCTTAATTTTAGGTTCTTCTAGTAGCACACAGTTTTAAAAAATAATAGCTTTATCGAGATATAGTTCACACACCATAAAATTCACTCTTTAAAAGTGCACATTAGTGGATTTTAGCATAGTAAAGTATAGTAAGTGTAGTGTGGTACAGTATTGTATTCTATAGTATAGCATAGTATGTGTTGTGTACCCATCACCACTATGTAATTTCAGAACATTTTCATCACCCCAATAAGAAACCTCATATCCGTGGCAGAGCTCATACTCTATTGCCACATTTTACTGTGTCATTACAGGGTTATGGAGGATTAGTAGTAAGATGTGTATAGTACCTGGACATAGTAAACAATAAGAAAATGTAGTTCCTATTTATAATAATGATATGCTAGTTAGTGATAGTTCTTTCCCTCACATTTCCATCCAAGTTTTCTTATTTGTCCACTGTCAACTTCCTGAATATATTCATTTTTTAAAAAAGGAAACAGGGAACATAAAACATGATCACAAAATACATTTAATGTAGAGGAGACATAAATGGAAAGACTCTTTTAATGAGTTTAAATATAATTGAAGAACTTGAAAGAGGCTTTTTATTTTTACCTTATAATAAGATATAAATTGCTTTAATAATTCAAGACATACTTACTTTAAAAATTTTTTTGCCTGCTTAGTTTTTCTATTAAAGTTACAAAGAAAAGCCTTTGGAGTCTTTGTCATGGAACTTCTATCATTTCAGTAATCAATATCTAAAAGATGATATTGATCAGCTGTCTAAACAATATCAATTGTTAAGATTTGATGATAATATCAAACTGATTTTCTTCATTTTGCTTCAGTTTCCCGTTTTATGAAATGAGTTAATTACTGACAATTTTAGTTTAATAGTATAATAAATTGAAATTTGATTACAAGATATGTTTATAATTCAAAATTTATTGCTATAAAAAATTTTCCTGAATATTAGGTAGAATTTCCCACCATGGGCTCAGAGTCTAAAAAAATGATAAAATACTTCCTAAAAAACTTAGGAAAGACCATGGGAATATTGTAAATACATATAACAACATACATTTTTTTGGCCAGTGGTCACTCACATGACATTTGTGATAGTGGTAGGTGTAGGCCAGTGAACTCTCTTGCTAACTTGAAGACTTTTCAAGTTTCTGTATCGTTGGCATAGAGGTTTTTGGAAAAAATTATCCAATATATTTCAATATGAAAAAAATTCCTCTTGTGAATCTTAAAAATCTCATTTGAAGTGGTAAAGCAAATTAATGCCTAAAAATACAGCTTGGCAAAAGCAAATCATGCAGATTGTATAAAGAATATGCTATTATAAAATCATGTTAACTATAAGTTAAAAAGATATTTATGATGGGTACACTGTCCCCCTATATGTAATCCCAGCACTTTCCAAGGAGGAATTGGGAACATCACTTGAGGCCAGGAGTTTAAGATCAGCCTATGCAAAATAGTGAGACTGTCTTTACCAACTCACACCCCCAAAATTAGCCAGTATGGTGGTACATGCCTATTGGCCCAACCACATGGGAGGCTGAGGCAAGAGGATTGCTTGAGCCCAGGAGTTTGAAGCTTTAGTGAGCTATGATGATGCCACTGCACTCCAGCCCCAAGTGACAGAGTGAGACCTGTCCTAAAAAAAACAACAACACAAAAAACTTACTGTTAAGTTTTCTAGGTGTGGAAATGGTTAGGTATTTTAAAAAGAGCTCTCGGGTGGTGCCTGTGGCTCAAAAGGGTAGGGTGCCAGTCCTATATGCCAGAGATGGCGTGTTCATACCCAGCCCTGGCCAAAAACTGCAAAAAAAAAAAAAAAAAAAAAAGCTCTTATTTTTGAGACTTGTATCCTGTGATATTTAAAGATAAAGTGATATAGTATCTTACTAGTCATTTAGGAGGGAAAAAAGAACAGGGTAGGGAGGGTGTAGATGAAACAAGATCATCTATAAATTGACACTTGTTGAAGCTGGATGATGCATTCATGGGGATTTTTTACACTGTTTTGTCTACTTTCATACATGTTTAAAATTCTCCATAAGGCAGTGGTCTCAACCTGTGGGGCACAACCCCTTTGTAACATTGCAAATATATCCTGCATATCAGATATTTACATTACGATTCATAACAGTAGCAAAATTACAGTGACAAAGTAGCAACAAAAATAATTTTATGGTTGGGGGTCACCACAACATGAGGAACTAAAGGGTTGCAGCATTAGGAGGCATTAGGAAGGCTGAGAACCACGGCCATAAGGCAAATATAAAATAAAAAGAAATCAGGTTGAAATAGATTAAAAAAGAAATCCATGATAATTATTTTATTTCTATTGTAAGACTTAGTACATTAAAGCATAAGATGCTTTATGTAGATAGATAGAAAATACATAGATGGGTGAACTGTTTTTAAAATTGTTTCAAGTTAATGTTATGTGATAGAAAGAGTCTGAGCTTTGAAATCAGACCTGAATTGGAATCTAGGCTTCTCAGAAGTTCTGTGAGCTACAGCACGTGATGTCAACTCTTGAAGCTTCAGTTTCCTCATCTATAAAATTCCATTAATAATGTCTACTTCACAGTTATAAGTTATAATGAATTATAATGAGATGATAACGCAGGAGGAATGTTTGCCACAAGACTGGTACTTACTAAAGTGGTAACAAATACCATTTTTATGTCTGAAAGGAGGGATAGGCAAATAAATACATGTATGGAACTCTGATAATATAAATTTCACATATCTTTCAAAAAA